CTAAAAAATCTTAGTGTTATAGGTGAAACCGTGTTATATCAAACTTGCTTTGATCTACCAGAGTGCGCAGCCACGCGCCCCCCCCTCCCCCCCGGAGTGCTGCTTTACTGTGTTATATCCAAATTTTTGTTGTATCATAGAATATCAGGGTTGGAAGGGACCTCAGGAGGTCATCTAGTCCAACCCCCTGCTCAAAGCAGGACCAATCCCCAGGCAGATTTTTGCCCCAGATCCCTAAGTGGCCCCCTCAAGGATTGAACTCACAGCCCTGGGTTTAGCAGGCCAATCGGGTTGTGTTATATCAGGGTAGAGGTGTAGTTATTTATACTGAAGTAGTTTTGTAGTATAGACCTGCCCTTATGCTGTCTTATTGGTGGCCTAAGGTGAGTCGCATCATCTCTTCGGGTATGTCTACCCAGCAAAGAAAAACCCGTGTCTGGCCCGTGCCAGCCGACTCCGGCTTGTGGGGCTCAGGCTGTGGGGCTGATTCATTGCTGTGTAAACTTCTGGGCTCCAGCCCAAGCCCAATGGGGTGGGAGGGCCCCAGAGCTCAGGTTCCAGCCCGAGCGTGGAAGTCAACACAGCAATGGAACAGCACCGCGAGTCAGAGTCGGCTGGCACAGGCCAGACGTAGGTTTTTCTTTGCTGCGTAGACATCTCCTTTGTGCCTCCGCTTCCCTACTTATACCGTAGAGACGACAATAATTATGCATCTTTGTAAAGGGCTTTGAGCTTTTCAGGTGAAAGGCTTGATGTCAGGTTTGATGCCTGCTTTGTTTGTTTATGCCACATGGGCAGAAAAGCATCAGCGCTGGTTACAGTACGGTCTGTAGTTTATTGCACTAAGCTTGGAAGCAGGGGACCTGGATTCCATTTCCTGGGTCTGCTGCAGATTTGCTCTGTGACTCTGGGCAAGCCGCTTCACACCTCTGTGGTTCTTCTCTCCCCCCACCCCCCTTTTCTCCATCTTGTCTCTTTGGAGTGCCAGCTCTTTGTGATAGGGTCTCTCACTCTGGGTTTATACAGTGCCTAGTCTCCATTCTGAAAATTCCATAGATTTAGTTTTTTGAAAGCTACACTTCGGGCTAGATTTATACTGACAGCGTAGCCGTCCTTTTCAGTGACAGACGGTGCGTGATGCCAAGTGATTGATCCCAAGAACTCAGTGTGGGGGCTATAAGTTTGTTCATGTCTTGCAGTTTTCCGGTGAGAATGGGGAGAGAATGAAGAAAACTTACGGCAAATTCTGCGGGCACCACAACGAGGCTGTAAATTATTTCAAAGACCTGCAGTCAAAAGAGAAGCGGTTTCAGGCATTCATCAAGGTAGGAACTGGTGGGGGATTTGTTTCTGACCCCCTCAGCGTGTGCACACTGCACGTTGGCATGTCTTGGCGAACGCTCCATCGGCAGCATTTTAATTTATGTCTTGTCTTTTTAGAAAAAAATGAGCAGCACGGTGGTGAGGCGCCTGGGGATTCCTGAGTGCATCTTACTAGTAACTCAAAGGATCACAAAGTATCCCGTGATATTACAAAGAATATTACAGTATACCAAAGGTAGAGCCTGTTTCTTTTCCTAAGCACCTTTGTTTCCTCTGTATCTTTTTCCAGGACCTTTCCCAGTAAAACTGCCCAACTCAAAATCAGCCAGCCAGCCAGCCCAGTGTTTAGTGCCCAGCACTACTGTAATTAGAGACCTGGGTTTCATTTCCTCCATCAAGGTTTCAAACCTCAGGCTAGGCAGGCTTGAGAGTGTTGCAAAGATACAGCGCACAGCCTCTGTAGAAGTGAAGTGCCTTGGTATGCTCATCATTACAGCAATCTCTAGCTAATTATGGAGCAACATGCATAGACTCCTGTTTTGTCCACTTTGGATAGTGGCTGCGATACAGGGCCTTGGAGAGGGGGATGGCAAAATAAGGAAGAATAAGATTCTCAGATTTCCAAGAGGATTGACACTCTCCTTTTGAACCTTTCTTCCATCCCAGGAATCCTACATTACCATACTTTTAAATACTGTATTCAAAGAACTTGGCCTCGAATCCGAGTCTTTATGGGTGATTTGTGATCAAGTGGTTACGGGTGATAAGTCCTCAATCAACTCTCTAGGGTATTTCTCTGTGTCACACAAGCACCTTTCTGATTCTGTATGATCAACCCATCAGGAGTGGCCACGAAATCTTAACACCTGAGGAGATCAGGGGTTAGGATGGTAGAAATAATGTGGGAGTAGTCTGCATACCACATGCTTGCGATGTTCCTGGTTTCTCTCAGTCAGCAAAAAGGCTCAGTTTACAGTTTAATCTCACCTGCTATCTGCTAGTGCACTCTGTTTAATCTCTGTGGAAGCCTTTTATTAGGTGTGGATGAGGTGTGGTTTATCTGTGCCACTCCATTTAAGATGGAGTAAACTCCAGAAGTGTTTTTGTATGATTTCACCCACAAAATCCTCTGGAGAGTGATGTATATGTAATGCTTTTTATCAGCGGGTGTGCATCCTACAGATACATCAGCTGACGTTGTAGATTAGCCAAGGAATGGCAGAGACTGACCACTGTGTCTTTATAATCATTAATGTTCTGTAATTCATACCTTTCAAAGTTTTCAAATATTGTGTTTGTTTCTTATAAAATAAATTTATGTTCAGAAGGGACAATCTTGTTGGCCATTATCCTCCTCATACATAGTCGTCTGTCCCATTGGCGTGGTTTATAGAAGTGTGAGTGAGGGTCTCTGGAATGTGAAACAATTTATTTCACAAATGTGTCACTTCATCAAGACCCAAAGAGATGAGAATTTTGCCATTACGAGGGTGGACCATTAATCCAGACCCTTAAAACTTTTATTGCAACTTGACTGAGTGTTCCTAATAGAATCTGGTATTCAAAAATGGCTGCACCTGATTTGCTCGCATAAACAGCTGTATGCACATGCATAATGGATGCATGCCCATTTTTATACATGCAGTCAGGTAGCCATGCACTTGGCAGAGGCTGAAAATGTGGTTCTTATTTACGTTGTCCTAGTTTGCCATAGCTCATGCAGAGTATATTTCCTATGGTTCCCCTTTACTGTATAGGTGTCTATTTAAGGTTTGTGACAAACTTTTCATTTCTTCTAAATGAAACTTGTCTTGGGAAGATGGTTAAAAATAGCGCATCCATGTGCTATAGCGTTTGATGACTCAGTGGTAAGGGAAAGGGGAGAAGTAAGAAGTTAGGCTCTGCATACTCACAATAAGGGTGAACTGAAATTGAAGTCTCTCTCTCACTCCTTAAGAAAACGAAGTGGAACATCAAGACTTGACCCAGTCACTAAACCTGGTTAAAGATGTGATTGCTGCGGTCAATAGCAAAGTCAGCAACTATGAAAAGAAAACACGTCTTACTGAGATCTACACCCGGACGGACAGCAAGTCCATCATGAGGATGAAGAGCGGCCAGATGTTTGCCAGGGAGGACTTGAGACGTAGGAAGCTCATCCGAGATGGGCCTGTCTCACTGAAGAACACAGCTGGGAGACTGAAAGGTGAGAAAATCCTACAGATCATGCACCCAAAGGATGTACCCTTCCTGTCTGCAGATGATGGCAGGGTTCATCCATCTTGCAACCTGCGACTTCATTCCCTTTCCTTTGGCTTGGTGGTTCCTCTGCCTTTTACACAGGGTTTCTTCTGAAATCGCTGGCCCATTTATTATTCACATTATTTTATTGATTTTTCTGTTCCTAGAAAGGTGCTGTCAAAGTAAAAACCATGAAAAATCCTTCCCAGTGCTCCTAGTAACACCCTAGATTACTGCCACAAATATTTCTGTTACTGCTCACCATTGATGCTGCTTATTTATTTACCTTCCAAGCTTTGCCCAGCAAGCTAAGTGATGGGTGTGATGGTGAATCCCATGTTTACACACTGCGGTTGTATACACATCCATTGGCTCTAGGAACTATGCACACTGAATGTGAAACGCAACCATTGCAGTTCCCAGTTTTGCTGCCCAGGAGCAGCACGACATTTCTATTACTCGAAAGTTCCCCAGAGCTGCTCAGCAGAACCAGCATTGCATTACTTGTTACACTGAAGTAAGTCTCCACATCGCACTATTTGACTCAGAAATTTCGGAGGCTGCTGCTCCAAACCATTACTGCTCTTCTGTTTCCCTAACGTCCCTGCAACTGTTGTATTCTCTATTACATGCACATTACAGATGAGGGGTAGCCAAATGTACTAGCCCTCCGAGCCGCATACGATAATCTTCAGAAGTTCGAGAGCCAGGCCTGCCTGCTGGGGCTCGGGGCTTCTGCCCTGTGGCGGGGTGGTGGCGCTAGGGGCTTCTGCCCAGCAGGCACCTCCCTTGGGACAGAAGTCCTGAGCCCCAGCAGGTGCATCCCGGGGACTGAAGCCCCATAAAAGAGCCACATGCTGGTTGCTGGATCTCTTGAACTGATTTTCATTCACTAAGTAAAAAAAAGTTAAGGCAAATAGCCCCCAACTCATCAAAGCATTGGGCTTAATTGCTTTGCTGAACTGGGGCCTGAAATCTTTCAAGTGAACTTTGAGATAGGAATCATGTTAGTCATTCTGTCACCCACAAGCAGAAGCTTGCGAGCTGCCTATGCTGTACTCCACCCCCTTCAGAAAGGTTGGGCTTGTTTTCGCTCTCCACCAATATCAGGCGTATAATCTTGGTACTTGGGGCTTCAGTGGAGTTTGGCCATCTCTCTTTGGTGTGTGTAGAACAGATATGATGCATGGAAAGTTACCATGTTATGTTTCCAAAGAATGTCTTGATTGCAGAGGTGGAAGTAGAAGGGTTTTTACCAGTGCATCCCTCCATATTCTGTGCCATCGGAGGATAATTTAGATTCCACATATATGATATGATTTGTTCTGAGGGAAAGTTTAAAGATGGTTTCTAGGTTCCTAGTAGGGCTGTCAAGTGATTAAAAAAATTAATTGTAATTAATCGCGCTGTTAAACAACAGCGATTAAAAAAATTAATTGTGATTTATTGCGCTGTTAAACAACAATAGAATACCATTTATTTTAAATAGTTTTGGATGTTTATTACATTTTCAAATATATTAATTTCAATTACAACACAAAATACCAAGTGTATAGTGCTCATTTTATATTTATTTTTGATTACAAATAGTTGCACTGTAAAAAACAAAAAAATAGTATTTTGCAGTTCACTTCATACAAGTCCTGTAGTGCAATCTCTTTATCATGAAAGTTGAACGTACAAATGTAGAATTATGTACAAAAAAACCTGCATTCAAAAATAAAACAATGCAAAACTTTAGAGCCTACAAGTCCACTCAGTCCTACTTCTTGGTCAGCCAGTCACTCAGACAAACAAGGTTGTTTACAATTTGCAGGAGATAATGCTGCCTGCTTCTTGTGTACAATGTCACCTGAAAGTGAGAACAGGAGTTCGCATGGCACTATTGTATCTGGCGTTGTAAGATATTTACGTGCCAGATGCGCTAAAGATTCATATGTCCCTTCATGCTTCAACCACCATTCCAGAGGACATGCGTCCATGCAGATGATGGGTTCTGCTTGATAACGATCCAAAGCAGAGCGGACTGACGCATGTTCATTTTCATCATCTGACTCAGATGCCACCAGCAGA